AACCAAGCTCAGAGAAGGACCCCACTTTCAACCCTGAGTTACATATATTTTCCTTTATCGAGATCAAATACAGATTTTAGGATTTCAGCATTTTATGAAGTAGCATTTTGGAATCAGTCAAGATTTTAAAAAGTATTCTATAATTGAAGAGTTGTGAATATTACAAGTACACCAACTCTGACTTAAGCTATTCCAAAATTGCTGGGAATAGAATTCTCAGTTATTATGGCCAGTTCTTCCTTTGGATGATGGATGGTTTAGTCCATATTATCTCAAGAACATCCAGTGTAGAAAAGATTCTACACATTTCCAGCTATAGGACAAAACCTCCCCCCCCCCCAAAAAAAAAGGCTGATTTTTTTTTTCCAGTGCTTTAAACCATTTTTTTTTCCTTTTTCCTCTTCAATTCTGGAAGTTCACATTATAAGCCTTAGCTGTAGGGAAAGAAATGCAATTGGCAGCTAAAATAATGCCAATCAAATTCTTCTCAGTTATGCACATTCAGTTTTATTATTGAGATATGTGGCTGGTTTTTTTTTAATTGAAGAAACCATAATCGGCTGACTCCACACAACAATAAACTATGGTTTACCAAATACAGTGGCTGGATTCACATAATATGCTGTGTAAAATGAAAATTATTTGATAATGTGTTCCGTGTATCCAACACAAGATTATACAGATACTTTTGATTAGCATCAGAATGAGTTATATTTTCATGCTTGTTAAGTCTGTATTAAAGCTGAATTTTTGTACAGAGAATATTGTGGCCAAAAAGAGCAACTCATTTGAGAAAATGTAACTGGTGAGAACTGGCAGAATAATTGCTGAAGCATGTTCTGTAGAAGTCTGTAAAGCCAAGCGCAATCACTAATACTCTTTTTTTCCCCTTTGTCTTGAAAAATCAGAAAGCCCCAAAGAGAGTTCTGAGCCCACCGGTTCTCCAGCTCCTGTCATCCAGCACAGTTCGGTGACTGCATCTCCCAATGGGCTGAACATCCGCTCTGCAGCTGAAGCCGTTGCCACTTCAGTCCTCACTCATATGGCCAACCAAAGGACAGAACTGAACGTGCCCATGCAATCACATGTCATTATGGCGCCGCAGTCCCAGTCTGCCGGCAGATGATGTCGCCAGTTGCATGGCATAGAACTAACAATGAACTGCAGCCAGAGAGACTGATCATAACTAAGCCCCTTGTTCAAAATGGGGTGGATACAGTTTTTGTTTTGTTCATTTGTTTTATTCTTTTGATTTCTTAAAAATGAGTGAAGGGCAGCTATGGAGCTTCTAACAAAGTATATCTCACATAGGTCCTGGCCTCAAACATCTATCATCTTTCCAAAGGGTGGCTTTGGAATAAGTCATTTTGCCACACTTTAGAGACCATTTCTCATCCTATCTAGAATCAACCGTTTGGACAGCCTTATACAGTGTGATCTTAAATGGTTAAAGTTCAGGTATACATTGCGCTAACACTAAACCTCCCTTAGTTTGGTTACTCGTGGTGCTTCCTTGTCTTGGCTACTGTAGCAAGAGAAAGCAGTTCTTGGGAGGTGCTGTGATGTTTTGCTGGTGCTGGCCATTTTTGTGGAAAACTTTAGCATCCCGACCGTTTTTGTAGCATATCCATCCAAATGGTACCTGACCTTCCATTCTACACTTTCATACAGGACTCCAGCTCGCGGCTCTGAAGGTGGTAAGCTCCAATAATTTGGTTGGTTTGAACTGTTCAAATTGTTTTGTGAAGAGAGTAAGAAACCCGCACTCTTAGCTGCTGCAACTGATGGGTGTTTTTGCTGTTCTGGGAGAGAAAATGGTAGGCCTGCTGTATGCATTGTAGATCACATAAATTGTACTATGCATATTATCAGGGATACCTTTTTGGTCATGTTGTTATCTGATATAGACTTTTTTGTAGTTCAAGAAGAAACCATCAAAACACAATGGGAATTCTTTGGTTTTTAAGTTACCAGGTGGGAAGAGCTAAGGCGTATTTCAATAATGAGAAGGAAGAACATTCACAAGGGCATCTCTTACTATGTCTAGAAAAAAAAATTGAATGATTTATACCAGTGTTTCTCAATCTTGGCTACTTTAAAATGTATGGATTTCTAGGCTGACCGGGGAAGTCTGGGAGTTGAAGTCCAGACATCTTAAAGTTGCCAAGGTTGAGAAATACTGATTTATACCTTTGGAATCTGAGTAGTTGCAGAATCATTCATAAGCATTACAGTAGCAGGTTCAAAGTGACACAGTGCTAAGCTACAGGAGGTTGCTAAACAAAGTTGTTTGGGGACAATGTAAGAGTTAGCTCAATAGCAAGGAAACAGGAAAAAGTATCTTTGCAAATGCTAAAGATTCAATACTCTTATAAGCCATGTTCATTTCAAAAGCTAAGCTGACATGTTTAACTCATTGAGCTTTTCAAGATTGTGGCCTTAAATCATGGACTATTTCAAAGACAAGAGGATGGGGGCATACATTCCAAATTGCTTCCCCTCTTACCTCTTTTTTTTTCTTTTGGTCAAAGGTTTTCCATCCTATTTCTCCTTCAGATACTGTCACCTATTACTATTTTCCATTTGTCTCTTCCAAAATAAATACCGAGTTTCTTGCACATTGCTATCGTAGGGTAGATTGAGAACAAAAAAGAAGAATTGGAAGTAATCTCTCCCTTTTTCTTCTGCTTCTTGTCAAAGTGCGTGCCTGTGTATCTTGGACTGACCTTGACCTCGACCTCTTGCTAGTTGGCCAATGTTTAGCTTGAATCACAACCAGAGGAAAAGATGCAGAGTGATAGTTAGCGTGTAGCTATCATGAGCTTGCAACTTGCCAACTCTTCCACTATTTTGTCTTCCTAATTATGTTTTTTTAATAAAGCATTGTCCTCTAAGGGGCTGTATAACTCCGTGCTGCCAGTCTATACAAAGATTTTTATTATTCCTCAGTTTCCTCCCACTAGAAAGCACACATATAACACACATACACACAAACGCACATGTCTATGTACATATGTGTAAATGTATATGTGGCATGCTAAACTTAATGCAGGTTGTCTGTTATTGGTATTGCTATTGTCACGATCAACCCAGCTTCTCAGGATCTTAATGCCGCTTGCTCTCCAACTATTTCCTTGCCTGAATATGATGCTGTTGCTTCTTGTTCTGTTCTTCTGTGACGTGGTGTTTAATTTTAATTTCTCCTGGGTTCCTTTTCCTTTATCCTTTGTTTAAAAGAAGCAAAATGTGTTTTGAATGTCTGCAGACTTCCTTTTAGCAAGTATCTCAGACATCCTGTCACTTGTCTTCCTCCCCTCCTCCCCCCCTCTTTTCCTTGCTCCCTTGATATGCTAAAAATGCAAGTTGGCAAAGGCTTTGAAATATAACTTGTCCCAACAGGGTATCTGTTTCCTTAGTGACAGCTCCAATAACAGTGCACAGCAGGTGTAGTCAGGATCTTCTCAGGTTAATAGGAAAAGAAATGAGCTTGCTGGCAAGTGGGACAGATGATAAGGTATTTTAGTTTTCTTTCTTCTTTTTTTAATTTATATTACTATTTTGTACCTTTCAAAACATAACTGCTGCATTCTTTCATTTAAAAAAGAACACTTCAGAATTCTGCTTGCTGTTGAATGAATGCAATGCAGGGTCCAGAGAAAGGACTGTAGAGTTTTGGTTTCGCCTATTTTCCATTGAAAAATAAGGGCTCACAATAGCATTGAGTTTGCTGTCTGAACTGGTGCCTAGATTCTCATTGACAACTAGTGTTTTGTTATGAGAAAGAACAAATGAAGCTGTCAGTTGCCCCATTGACCAACCTAATTCAACACCATCTTCTTGAGCTAGCATTGGCGTGGTTAAATAACCTGGAAAGGAAGTATGAATGTATCAAGATTTGCAAATGAGTTGGCAGAGACTTGCCAAACAGAGGTTAAATTTGGGGTGGATTTCCTACCATAGTTCAAAATGACACCAAAGGATAGGTATGGCCTAGCATTGTCCTTCCTTAGGTCCCTCCAAGAGTTGTATAGTTGTCACACAGAGCATGATTCAGTAAACCCTCATAATTCAGAGCAAACTGGGTAGAGCAGCTGTGGCTTAAGAACAATCTCTAATATCTAACTTAAAGAAGCCCTTTCTTTATTTGGGGCCATGAGATAAAAACTCCAGCTCTTTCTCTTAGATGGGAACCTTGTTTTAGGGCAATTGGGAATTGAGCCTGGAACTTTCTATATGAACATCTCTAATACACTATAATCTCCCTCCTAATTGGACAGGAGGCTGCTTCATTTACTTTTAGGCAGGGTGTAAAGCATTCTGCCTCAACTTGGCAGTTCTCTGGAAGGGCTGGATAGAGTTGGCGTGGCCTCCCCTCTGCATGAGTTCATGGTCTGTGCTGCTATTCAGTGACTGTCACTCAGCCTGGTTCACTTAATTCTGTTTCAGAGTAGACATATATTGAATCTTCAGTCAATGCGAGAGTTGTGCTTAGGCTCTGACACTGTAAGGACAAGTGATAGTAACACTCCAGGAACAGGTAAGAGGGCTTGTGGAAAGGACCTGATTTGTTGAGTCTGATAGAAAGCATAAGCTGCTTTCTATGGGAGACATACTGTGGTTCAAAATCAGGGAGTATCATATAAAAGAGCTTTCATAAAAAGCATCTCATTCCGTTAGCCTAGCCCAGGCCTGTGGGCGTGGCCTCACGTACAGGCCACGCCCACCCCGGCTCCGCAAAGGCAAAAAACGATACATCATGCGACGCAATCAAGTTTGGCACCCATGGCCTACCCTGAAAGAGCATGGCAGCAGCCTGGCTCTAGGAGTGCCCTGCCTCAGTGCTCCAGGACTTTGGAATAAGAAGGGAATGTAACAAACAAAAGGGCACATAATATCGGCCAAGAGGACATTTTTATGTGCCCCTGGGAGCTCCTGCTGCAACTTTGGATAAATTCCACTATTCTGTTAGATGAAGCCGATCAGCCATCCAAGAGTCTTTTGTGTGACGAGATGGGTGGCAAATAAATTTAATAAATAAAGAAATAGATTAAAGTATCGTGCTGTTAGAGATGGGGAAATATTTGAGGGGAGGGTTACAAATTAGAAACTACATCTACCCTGTCTCTTGGAATCTGCTGTATCCTCAACCCAAATAATGCCCGGCCTAGTAGAAATGGAGCTAGAATTGAAATAATCTTACAATTATTTTTTTTTAAGTGTATTTGAAGGAAATAATTTCTCTTATAGCATTTTAAAATTAAACACTGCTTTGCTATTCCCTTTTCCATGTATCTGGATTGTAATGGTTGCCTTAGTACGATTCTGTGCTCCTAGTAATCATTAAAAATGAAGCAACATTTTGCACGTTGCTTTAGTCCCTGCTATTCAATACCTGCCTAGTTAGAAGAGTTCCAGAGCTGCAAAATTCGGGGTATGTAGGTAACCCTTGCAGCATGGAATCACAGTAAAAGGTGGCTCTTGTAAGGCCACAGAATTATGTGAAGAATTGGTTAGACTGTGATCACCCCTGCGCTAAACGTAGCTGACACACTGGTTAGCTCTGATAAACATATTACAATTCATAACATCAACAGTTGGGTTTGTAGCAAGGGTCTCTGTAGTCAATTTTAGATGATGGCCAAGATATAAGTTGCCTAAAAATAATTCCTTTCAGGTAAATAAATAATTTTTTGAGATTGAGAGCAGGGTAAGGGATGATCCTGTCAAGTTACTCTTTTAGGTTGGAGAAGACTATACCATTTTAGCTGTACATGGTATGCTAAGGTTGATCTACATATTCTAGAGCAGTGATGGCTAACCTTTTTGTCATAGCGTGCTGAAAGTACACCCGCGGCCCTGCGCCCTTAATGCAATGCCCGCTCACATTGCATTTTGGGGCCTCGCACGGCACCCCTGTGCCCCGTTTTGGGACTGGAAAGCCTCCTGCACCAACCTGGAAGCAAAAACAGGTTGTTGGGGGCCCGCACGAGGCCCCAAAATGCAATGCGAGTGGTCCCCGCACATGCACCACTCTCTTGCTCATGCACATACATGTCCCCCACGTGTGCCCTGCTCCCATGCATGAGCAGCAGAGAGGGCTCTGTGTACCAACTGTGGCATGCTTGCCATAGGTTTGTCATCACAGTTCTAAAGCAATGAGTAAGTAAGTGCATTTTGGGCTCACACCCATATTTATAAGAAATTACTATTCTAAGTGTGTACCCTTCCAACCTGCCAATTGACCAGTGGCTGCATGTCTGTTACTGAACCCTTTAACAAAATTCTGTGCCTTGTAGCAAAGAAAGCAATCTGGGAAACTAGATAGATAGATAGATAGATAGATAGATAGATAGATAGATAGATAGATAGATAGATAGATAGATAGATAGATAGATAGATAGATAGATA